TGTCCCCTTTCTGATGGCCGGTTATCTCAAAGCGCACCGGAGTGTACTTTGTTAGGCAGTCCTGTGCACACGTTAGCTCCGAGGTCAGCTTTGCGCCGTGCCGCGATGCGTCGATCCATTTATTCCTGAGCGCGCACCAGATGAAGAGTGGGACAGTTAACCGGCTTGACAATTCCGCTCGGAAGTTAGACTTGGGAGATAGGCCAGAAGTTCGCTGTCGTCCGCGAAAGCAGTAAGGAAGGATGTAAGTGCTGGCTGCGGCTTTGCAGAACTACCGATTTTGGTGGAATCGGTTTTGATGGATGGGTCTCGTAATGTACTTTCCAACGATTCTACTATCATTGATGGAAGTAGTAGGTGCGCTGACTTGGTCCACTTCTGTTTACGCCGAAATGTCACAGAAATAGGCAATCAGCGGTAGAGGACGATACTTTAGGAGTACAGACCAGAAAGTTTGCGCACTGCGTAGGCCAGACCAAGCATGATCGAATTAGTGTACTCGGATGAATATTCGGTAATATGCAGACTCAAGAACGATGAAAATGTAGCAGCAACGAAATCTCATCGGCAATCGACGATCTTGTGTGCTGTGCATTTTGCGTAACACTAGCGAAACCCTGAATTGGCGACAAAACGATGTACCCACATACGTCGCGGATTCTCCTTTACCGTGTTGGAGTATGCTTTCACTTTGTGAATACAGTGTTATAAGTGTTTACTCTGAGTGAACTGTGCACTCATACATTTCTTTTGGTGTATTTTTCATCTGTGCAAGGTTGGCGGACATTCTCTGGATAATTTCGGTAATCTCACTAACTGGCCCAACTGCCGTCTGTGTCCGCCATCTTGGATTGGTTCTAAAGCAATCTAACCTGTGTCGGTCAGACCGACAGCGTTGGGATTCAGCCTGATCGTGTCGACGTTGCAACGAAGGACATCCGCAGAACTGACAGTCACAATGGCACACACTGCTTGAACACGGAAAGTTAAGCCTAAAGATTCCGATATAACCGTTAGTTGTGGCGCAGACAGCTGGGTTAAACTTGTGCGCTTTGGGATAGGTTGCAGAAATTGTCGAAAATATTTTCATTCTTGATGTGCCTGCCTTACTCTCAGCCAGATAAAAAGCTTAATAGCACGACTGATTCTCTCTGGTTCTGCACTGAGTGTACGTCTATTCAACTCGGACGTATAGCTGTGTTGGCATAGAAGTGCGATAGGCTGACAAAGATTGTACAGTAAACAGCCGCCGTGTAAACTGTCACGGAGGAACCAGACAAATCAGTGCCTCGAACTGGATGCTCAACAGTAAGCGCCAATCCAGAACAGTGTAGCCGGGTCCGATATAAGACACGTGTATGCCACGGCTAAACTTCGCAGCCTCCCTTTCTCAACACATGCGTTCGTCGCGCCCGACCCCTCCTCGTGAGCAGATCAGAGATAGGCAAATGTACAGGGAACCCTCTACCTGCAACCACGTCTTTGTCCGTACAGACGCAGTGCGTCGCCCTTCTCAGTTTCCCTACGCCGGCCCCTTCAGAGTTCTTCAACGAACTCCTAACCATATTCGCTTAGATCAGAATAGTCACCGAACAATAATGTCCATCGATCGTCTTATTGGCATTTTTCGAAGATCCGCCCCCAAATTCACCTGACATAGCCGCAACCGTAAACTTACCAGTAGTTGTGTATCCCGTACCAGGCACCCTAGACACAACTGTTAGCCTTGACCCTCCTCCAACCCCAGGTAAATGACCGACGCGGTAGACAGGTCAAACGTCCAATCCGCTTTTCAGATTTTTTTAAGGTTCGCTATATTCCTTAACATGAGTACCTCCCACCTTTTCATGGTAAGCATGTTTCATTCATAAACATTTTGCAAAACGACAAAATCAAACCTAAGACCTTCTTTTACAAAAACAAAAAGTGTACACCTTTTGTTTCGTATACCCGCTTCGTTATCCATATGGAATCACGCCACCTACCCCAACCACCTCCTACCCTCCTCGGGTTTTATATTCCAGAATTCAAGTCCCCTGACAAGCCGTTGAATCTCCTGGCCCGTCTAACCAAAGCCTCCAGTCCCATAATCCTGGCTCCAAGCGACCGCGCCTCCCCATTGCTGGTGCGACAGCGACTGATCTGGTCTGCGAGTGCTGAGAAATGATTCCCAAAAGGCCACTTTCGGGATTCTTCATGGAACGAGGATTGTTACGGCCGTGGGCTTCGTGTGCGGTGGAGGGAGTAACACCTCCCAAGCGCATCGTCGGGCCGCAGCGGAGGAAACATCCTGTCGGACTAGCCAGTTTTTCGTGGTCCGGTCAGCCCACCGATGATGCACTCCAGTGCACATGCAAATAATAAGTAGGAAAGAATACCGAACCCAGCGAACTCCACGAGCTCTCTTTCTACATACATCCGCCTTCTATCCGTATTTGACTCCATATTCTTCACATCGTCCCCCACCTGACATTTATCGAAGGCTTCCCTCTAGCAGCCTTCTAGGGGGAGACCCCTGCAATGAACATGAAACATTTACGCTCTCAGTATTTTGTGACATTGGATTTTATTCTTGTTTGTAACTTCTGATCGTCCATTTGTTTTACTGACGGCACGTCTGCTTCACATTCGTTTCCTGTGAGTTTTGCAGTTCCTCGCTTCGTGCTTCGCTAATTGACTTTCAGTTTTTTGTAGCTCGTACAATACACGTTGGGTTCGGCAACGTTCCACTTCTGTATACTTGCTATCCGTGGTTGGTCTTACTGGTAACTGTGGCTAGCAGCCCCTTAGTTCGGCTCTACAATTATATTGAAAGGCATAAACAGTACTTCGTCACGCAGTAACGAGCCTACTAAGCCGTGCAACCATCATCATTCGCGTGTGGGCTAACGGTCGCCTACATTTACAAATCAAGCGGAAGTTCTAGACACGTCGGACTGCGTGAAATGACTTTGGAAACGCGCACGTCAGAGCACCACTTAGTACAACAGCCAAGTATTTCAACCACTTAGAATGAATAGAATAAGAGCGGAAGCTCCAAAGAAGTTAAGCACTTTCAATATCCAAGGGCGTCTCCTTTGTGATGAAATCAGCTAGGAGTCCTCGGGAACCAGGATACAACTTGTGGTAATGATGTTTCACGAATAAACTATCTAACCAATATCATAATATTATTACTTTAATGGAACTTTTGGCTAGATCTGCAGCAGTTATTGTTCCCAGTTTCTTAATCAATCTGATAACTTCAAAGTGCCAATCATTTAAAAACCCATTTTGGATTTGTTATACAAAACATGTACAAGTAACTATTTTATGCGATCTCGTTGTACAGATCGATCAGGCCACTCAGTTGGATTGTGCCTGGCATCATCGAGGAATAAACCCTTTATTGATTTAGGTATGCATACGGGTAGAGCTGGTATGGACTAGTTCATAATTCTGCGCCCCCAAGTATTCCAAAGTCGGCCGGTGGCCGAGTGGTCTGCACGTTTGCTTTGCAACCATAAGGTCACCGGTTCGAATCCGCGTAGGGGTGGGCATCCTCGCGGTATACTCAGCCCGCGCGCGACTGGTGGTGGTCGCGCTGGCAGCGAAGCGCCGTTACGGCCTACAGCTGACACATTATTTATTTATTTTACGTATGCCAAATCAGGATTCATTGGGGCTGACCCAGTTAGATCTTCATATTCCATTCAGGCAGTTCTGAGATGTAGCTTAATTTAATTTCAACATATATATATATGACCATAATACTGGTACATACATAATGCTTCTTCACAGAAAATGGGCTACACCAATTAAACTTAAACCAGTTCTTCCCAACCTAGAAAACAAAGATTCCACATTATTCGATTTGCTCAGTTGTTGTTTTGCAGCATATTTAGAGTCAAATTTGCGTGTTTATTTTCTTTCATATTATGCGTTTGAGGTTTGATATCCCGGTATGGCTACTCATCATGTGAATGTTGACAAGGTGCCCATCTGTCGAAAAACCACTACCTCGATTATGCTGGATCCAGGAGACAGTTGGTTACTGCTTAGGAACACGAGGTGTACGGTCCTCCTTACAGTGCTAAGCACAGAGAGTGGGTTCTGTCCAGTGTGACGCAAGCTACGGCACAGTCACTGCATTGTGTATGTATGGTACGCATGATCCTTCACCTAGATAGACTGGGATGCCGCTCCTGTGCATGTTGAAGGAGTGTGGGCAGGCTCCGTTGATGAAACGTGGATCCCATCCGTATGCCTCCAGGTCTTATTCCTCCGGGTTTACACTGAGTATGGGGTGTATGGATGGAGCTGTGCGTGAAGAAAAGCAAGGCACCCATGGTCTCTCAGTAGATGCGGGCGTCCTGTGGCTGTCCTATTGAGACTCCAGTGACAGGCAAATCCGGAATCAGATGGCGCCAACCACATAAGGATAAGTGACTGTGCCAACGATGGTGGTTAAGGCATCGAAGAGGTTACCGTACACGTTCAAGAAGTTTGTGAGAGTTTTCGATGTGATGCGTTAATAGGAACAGCAGCCAAGCAGCCGAAATCATGTTATCGTGCGAAGTAGACACAAGGCCACTGCAAGCGCAAAACATACAACGCAACGGCTGTCACCAACCGTGTAAAAGGAACGCCGAAGACCTATTTTTAAGTATAGCAATAGACCCTTTGGTGCCCTAACTGACCATATTTTAAATCCGGTTTCTTCATGATTGGACCAAATGCCTCTCCTGTTTGCAGACAACGTACCTTGGAATGCGCTTGCCGTGCTAAAATACATGGGAAGTGTGAAAGGATAAATAAAAAGACTCGAGCAGGTTGGCGCGTGTCGATTCAGCTGTTAGATAGTTTAAGAGGCAAGATGTGGACGTAAACTCAATGACACTATTTGACCATGCTTCATCAGGAACGAAGCCCCGCATAAAACGAGCGGAGTGGATGAAGTGCGTTAGCAGATCAACGGGTGCAATCAGAAAGTTGAGAAGTAATGCACAGCGATCGCTCATAGATCCATAAAAGCGCATTTATTTGTTTCTTTTTTTAGCCTCAGTTGGAAGTCTCTCGAGATTCAGTAGGAGTTAAGCATGGGCATTCGTTCCAAGAGTAATGGGAAGTACCTTGCAAGTTGTATGACGAGTTCGGGGGTAACTCGAAAGAAGTAAGCCTGTGAGTGGATAATGTGGCAAGGCAAGCAACCACCCCGATGACTCGCGTCCAATATAGACGGCTGCAATCCCAGGCTAAGTGTTTTCAAATCCTATCATGTTGGCCACTTTTTGATACATATTTTTACTTCTCTGGCTTTTCCAGTTCGTTTTAAAGTACCAACCCGTGTGAAAGCAACTGGGCCCACCGTGCTTTCACGCTCGCATCTCAGTCAGTGCGACGAGCGGTTGAAAGGGACACAGGTTTGGAAGATCCAGTCAAGGTGAATGAACCAGCTCTACACCTGGAAAGAAGTAATAAAGCTTTTAAATAATCTCGAAAATTTATTAACTGGAAAAATATTGTATAGGTTTAAATGCACTGTACGAAGGAAATTGGCTTTACACCATTTATACATAAGAAATAAATAGCACGAGATTACAGGGTAAACAGGAAAACAGAAGATCAAAGATATGTCTTAGATCGCTCTATACAAGTACGCACACAGCACGGAAATCAAATCACCCGTTGGTTGTACGGAAGGCCAGGAAAAGATCACGGGGTTGTTCAGAAATCTTTGTCTTCCAAAAAGCTGTACTGAAACACGAACTCCTCCTTTTTTCGTTGGCTCATCGCTTTGAAATCGTAGTAGATGTAAGATCCGGATTCGTATTCATCCGTGATTTGCTTCGGCTCTTCATTGCGTTGAAACCACATCATGTATTTGGTATGAAATCGCCAGGACATCCGTTTTAATGCCTTCGCAGCAAAGTACTGAGCTTTGGTGCCTTCAAAATAATAAAAGATGAAGAACAAGGTTTGTGCGTCGAGCTTCATGTAGTACTCTTCAGTGTCCGTGTTTGGAAGGGGTTCGCGAGGATAATAGCTTGGACCGTTGACAATGTTCTTGCAGATAATCATCCGCGACTTTTCCGTGTCGCATTGATGAGGTAATCGTCGGTAACTACTTTCTAGAGCCTGTAGTTGAAGCAGTAGCTGAAAAGATTAAATAAACAGGTAGAGAGTGAGTGCAAAATGATGACGCCACAAACAAAAAGCAGATGAACGACACAAGAATCATGCGAACAGTATGGTGTATACTGCTTACTACAAGTGGATGATAGCTTTGCAGGTACAATAAACGATTCTGTTAGACCAAAGTAACCACCGAAATAAGGTGAAGCGGGCAACTTTCTCGTTTAGCAAGTTGACGTCTTCTAGTTTCACAGAAGCAGTGAATGCTCCGAACGAATGAGCAATCAATTTATCTGTGCCCACGTAAGAGTGATTGTTAGCATGCATGTCACATTGAAACGCGTTCCAAGTAAAGAATGTGCGACATAGAAGCGTTCGATCCGGAAGACGCACTAGGCAACAAACAATATGTATTAATGTCCCGTCTTAGCACAAAGTGTTGACGTAGGGCAGAACTAATTGTACTAGATATTGACACGTCCTGACCAAGTTTGCCGATGACGTCACAAGCAATCCACAGGTTAGGTGAAGATAAGAAGCAACTCGGCTACTGTGCCGTACCACTGTGCTCATTTTGTAAAACACCATGACACTTGATAGTCCCGAATCACATAACCAACGAAAAAATCGTACGAAAATTCACAAGAAACTTAGTGGTTGTCCTATAAAAAGTGTTGAGTAAAGTGATAGATGATGTCGTGCCCTGGGTAGGTGACAATGTGATTCAACAGCTGTAGACTGGTTCAGCTAATCGAATCCAACAGACTCAACTCACATGCCGTCAGTCAGACGATAAGCGAGTTAGAGGATACAAAGATAACCAAGCTACGCAAACGTCTGCAACACTGCACAGAGCACCATGTTTCTCAATTAAATTACAGCACAATCCCAGGTGACATCCCTATTGCCATCATGTAGTTCCTGGTCTGTATACACATTCAGAGAAAAATGTAGATTCCAAAACTCTACAAACGTCTTGGTACAGATAATCTTCCACCGGCATTACTCAAAGACATGAGGAGATGTAACCCACGAAATCCTCGAATACTCGCGAAGGTATAGATTGTAGAGAAGGTTCTCAACACTGCAAATGATTGTCGATGCTCTAGAAGTCGCAAAGAATAATCAGCGATGTCCTATCTGATGCATCGAGCAGGGCGTATCGGGATGAGGATGATACTGCTCAGACCTTCTTGTGTTTTTATTCTGCCCCTTATGATTTTTATGCCTTATCGTCCACTCCCAGCTAAACATTTATCCCCCTGCATCCAATGCCCATCTCTAGACTCTCCCTTATTTTGCTTTGATGGTCGCTTGTCTTCTAGTTCCGCAACGGCAGATCATCGCTCCAGTGAATTCGATAAACCAATACTCAACCAAGCGGACAACATTCGATCATCCGCTTCTAATTTAAGCATTCGGTTCTCTCTAAGGCTAGCATGCACTTTACTGCAGACTGGCCAACAGGCAGCACTTGTCTGAACACTAGCTGTTTATCAGAAACTCGCCTTCAAGCTTCGGACTATGTACTCACACTGCGATCCCCATAAGCAACACTGGTGGCACCTTCGCGTTTGTCCAGAGATGACGCAGTTTCAAATACTGGTCAAGCCAGTGTGGGTATTGCTCTGAGTACCCCAGGCTGAAGTTGTTCTGGTAGATTGGATCTCTATCAACAGCCGGATGAGAGCTACAAGATTGGCTGGCTTATTCAAAGCTCCGAAGTCGCGCGCACACACACAGTGTCTGTTTACGGCACAGTAGCTGATGTGTGATGATGATGAGTGTCTGTTTGACACTGCGGCCCTCATCCACACAAACTGTAGCGCCGACTCGGTGAAAGATAACTTCTATCACCAAGTGAACGAGCTCCTTCGTTATAGAAAAAGTACGGATACTGTGATGCTTGCTAGTGATCGGAATCCCAAAGTCAGAAAACTTTCCACTGATGAGCTGTATCTGGATGGCCAACAATAGGTAGGCTCCCGTAATGATAACGACGAGTGGTTGCTACACCTATGTGAAGATGCTCATCTATTTCTCGCAGGTATTCGCTTCCGACACAACACCTGCAGAAAAGTGACAAGGCGCCCGCCAGCCGCGTACGCCAATCGACCACATTGAGTTCACCTACCGCTGGAGGTTATGTCAAAAACCGTCTCTCGGTTTGGAGCACGAGCGTGGACTCCGACCACGCACTTTTATGTGCCGATCTCACAGTTCGCGTTCACGGACGCTTGTAGTGAGGCTGTGAGCGTATAGACTCTAACCAACCGGTAAAGCCATATGTTCTGAATATATATCAAAGTGCGCTGACACGATGGTTGAGCAAATGCCCATGGAATAAAGTTGATCGCATATTCGCCAGATTTTATTAGCAGCAGACATGTCTTCATGTGGGAAAATAAATTGCCAAATTAACCTTTGGGTCTTTACTGTTGCTGGAACTTCTGGACGCTCGCGACACATTCCGGTTAGGAAGCGAACGCAATGATACTTGCAGACTTCAAGGCCAAATGCTTTCTAGTCTGAAAAGCGATGGTAAAGTCTGGTGGTCTCACCGTGCAGTGAAGATGGACCAAAGTGCAAAACATACTGAGGTATGGATCCATAAGGTTTACATGGTTAACGTTCAAGCAATTAATAAAACCGATCAAGTTAGAGAAAGCTAAGCCAGAGGAGGAAGAACGAAAAAACAGAAGAAATGCCATTTAGGTAGGCTCTTCGCCATGTCAAAAATATATTCAATCAAACGTGCTCATCGTCCTTGGAAACCGAACCCGGCAGTCAGGAGACACCAACCGAGGTGATGGACTTCATTCCCCTTGACCAAGTCATTGCTTGGGCTCTTCTACTCTTCTTCCATCCACGCAAACAACGCACGTCGCTGAAGTCGGGGTGCTGGCATTCGCAACCTATGACCCAGCCATCGGAACCTGGTACCTGATTATTAGTGAACAGTAGGGGGGACTAATTGGGTTTTTGCGAAGATTCGTCGCATCTACACTCAGGCAGACAGCCACCATACCCAGGAAAGCGCTAGACGGCCGTTTTGTCCCATTGGGACTCATCAGCAACGCGCATCTGCTGAATTCTGTCGGATTCGAACCCAAGACCTTACTCTTAAGAGCAAGCGATTTATGCCACTGAGCCATGGGTGACGGAAGGTGTGCGGTTCGCTGCCTTGCCTGCTCAAGAGTTGTAAAACACTTGGGTATCGGCACAGTAGAAATGACATCGATGCAGACGGTCATGATAAGTAGACGAAAAGTAACGAACAAAACATTGGGTTGTAAAATCATGCAAACAAGGAAAGCATATAGAGACACATACGCTTGAAAACAAACCTCTCGGGGGATAGGACCTTTGGATTTGTCAAGGTTGCGATTGCGGAACGGGGCGGCTGCATCACGCGGGTGCATTTGGGTGCAAGATGGCATTCTAGGGGTTTGTACGTGTAATGCGTTTTGAAGAGCGGGCAGCTGTTTGTCCATTGGCATGTGTAATTGCGATCCCTGTGGTGCCGTTAAGTTGATTCCTGTGGGGAAAGGCAGAGGTTGTCCAGTTGCCGCAGCGACTGAATGAAGCTTACAAGCCAAAGATGGAGCGAGAGAGGTATCCAGACCGATGCAGGTAGTTAACTGTTGATTGTCAGTCATTCCAGCGGAATTTAGTTGGGTGCCCGCAAGCAATTCTGACAAATGCTTTTCGGAAACTGCGGTCGGGTTCGTAGAAGCGGCTTGAGATGGACAATTCAAACTGTAGCTAACGGATACAGGTGCAGTCGCGATAGAAAGGGAAACGCGGTGTAAAGAAGTTTGGCCACCACTAGCAGTTGATGGATTGATAGAAGCCACAGAAGAGTTGGAAGTGAGTAGGGACGAAGTAGCGGTTGGTTGAGAGCCGACTACAGCAGCAAAACCAGGCTTGCTATTAGCAGGATTTGTATTCGATAATGTCATCAGTGCAGTTGAAGGTGTGACGGTACAAACAATGGAGTGAACAGAATTGGGGCTATAAAGTGTTGCCTCTGTACTGGAATCCGAAGGCGAAGAGACCGCAGGTTGGCAATCTGGAATTGTATGGGATAGTACCATGGCTAAATGTCTGTCGGGTGGTCTTCCAGTCATATCGACCTTGGATGTTCGAATCACTACGTCTAACATTGTGGGCGTGGAATGTGTGTCAGCAATATGCGAAGCCGATTTGATTGCGTTCGCATCTACTGATGTTAGCCCAAAAGCTGTGCAAACTCCAGTGTGAGGAGTGAGAAGGCGGTTGCCTTTATTAGGGGTGCTTGCGACTACTTGAGACATTAATGCAGGCGGAGCGGTTTGATTCGCGATATTACACGATTTGTGTTTACTAGATAGTGTGGTCGAGCCTGAAGTGGGGCCGGCGGATTTTAACGGTGTGCTGGTTGAAGAGGCGGGGACATAGCTCAGTGGAACAAGCTTATCATCACTCTTAGTGCGTTCTCTGGAGCACGATGACGCATTGGAAGAAGTCGAAGAGGTCGGATGGTTTGTAGACGAGTCTGTCTGATTAGAAACACTTGTAAGTGTGGAGGTAGATGAACCAGCGTCATCATTTGCGCCACGCTGACTGATTAACGTGGTGGAGGGAATGGAAACCCCGTTTACTTCATGTTCGGCCACACTACCAGCTGGCCCAGTACCGGCGGTGATGCCTGTAGAATCACCAATCTCATCTAACCGGAGGTCATCGTACATGTTTCGGTAGTCGAGGGAGGATATGTCGTCACAAGACTGAATAACATACTCAATCGGGTCCTTGATAGAACGCAACAGAGCGCAATCTAACCGCTCGTTATCTAAAAGGCGCATGACAGTTTCTAGTTTTTCGATATGAAAAGAACAATTTTCCAATCGCTGGCGCTTTTCTTCAATTGCCAGAGTAGTGTCTTTATCTAACCGTTTCTTTTTGTTATTATTTGTGATGCTCTCAATTTCGAACTCGTATTTTTCCATTTGGGTGTTCAGAGAGGAAATGCACTGTTTGAGCCATTCATCTAGCTCTTCCTTTTCTTTTTGCAGCGGATCTTTCTTCGCCTCTGTGGAAAGTAACCCCTCTTTTGAGTAGGCCTTTGTTTTGGTCTCTTTCTCTATCACTTTAAACCGTTCCATGTCTTGCTCAATCTCTTTCCGCGCCTCAAGCAACGGTCTTTTGTCTTTCACTTCATTAGCCGTAAGCCATGTTTTGATTTGATCTCGAAGACGTTGCAATTTCTTGATTTCCTTTTTTAAATCACCCTCAAACTTCTCCTTTTGAGTTTGATTGACTGAACTCTCGAATTTGTCCAAAATTTCCTGAAAAGTCAAAAGAATGCGCACATGATGAAGGGTGACGAAGTTTGAAACGAAAAAAACTAGTTCAGAAGAGGCAGACTAATCAAAGTGTGAGCTGTGCGAAGGAACAGTTTAAGAATTGTGAAGAAAAAAGCACGCGATCAAACATATCGAGGGGCCATAGGTATCGAATAAGGCAAACTGCATCTAGAAGTAGAATAACAACAGAATGAGTAGGTGTGTAGTAAAACAAATAATTAGACAGAATAGACTATGGAAATCCGAAGCAACAGCAAGTGTCCGGTAAAGTTATTTTACTTTAACAAATAAACGAGCGCTGTCTTAAGTGGTGTCGTGAATGACAAGCCATGAGGTTATAAACACAAAGAGTGGATGAGGCACCAGTCGAAGGGTATTTGGAATAAATAAGCAAAAATCCACCTGTAAAGAGACAATAAGACGCATCAGTCTTGTTCAAGGTAATCAGACACAGAACAGTAGGATACGCCTACTGAATTGTTAGATAATTCGTAGACGGAAGACAGACAAAAGAGTGGTACAAGTTGGAGACAAAAAATGACACTGTTAATGTGAGACATAGATTTCAGAGTTATGTGAAATCAGACACACAAAAACCTATTGGATAAGGTGATTAATGACCGAGCCACAATGGATGGAAAAAGTTTGAGATCGGTATCAAAATTGGATAGCCTGAGTTGTTCGATTCACGTGGCAATGGCCAAATGCAATCTGCAATGGAGGTTTGTTTCGCTAGAACGAATAAAATGTACGTAGTGTGGGATGTGGAGCATGACAACGGTAGCATGAAAACAAGAAAGAGGGACTATGTTGAAAAATGCAAGCATACCATACTTATCATCCTGACAAGAACTAGGGAACTGCGCGAGACCTTCTGAGGCACGATGTAGTTAGTTGCTCCTGAGCTGTGGGTGGTCCAGCCAACTAGCATCAACAGCGCCTTTTATCGACCGAACATGGCGCGCAATGAGTAGCTGGCCTGCGTGAACCCTGGCTTTGTTTGTAACAGTCGCCAAATATACACGACTGGGTTAACGATGCGAGTCATGGATATCGGTGTGTGTGGTGACCGGTTCATTAACAGGCATTCGATGAAACATATACTTACCGCCACTGGGCAAGGGGGATACTGAACAAATCCCTGGACCAAAGTGTGAGGCAACATAAACACGACACCGAGCGACTGCATGCAGTTCGGTTCAGTTTGTCAACGAGAAAACGTGTACCGAGACGACGTGGATCCAGTTACCTTGACTCAAGGTACCATGGTAGTAATCATAACTCCCATTAAGTGGATTAGACAAATAAATAGAGGAAAGAATAGCTCGGTGGAATACTACGCAACAAACGGAAAAGCGCCGCTGAATCTGTAACCGCATCACGTTTGGTAGGGCGTCTAATCACTGACGCGGTCGATGCATCTAGGAAAAACAATCGGTTAATACGACGGTTTTTTAGCATTTCCTCACGCTATTTTTATACGTTAATGACTGGTCACCTCAGGGCTACAGTTCAGTTGAACAACTACGATCCCGGTAACAAAGTGGGATGGACCAAATGTCAGAACAACAATAAATAACCAAGAAAAGACTATGCTTTTACCCTCCGAACTACAGTCAATGAGGGCATAAACGGAAGGGATGAAAAGGCACACAATTTTCATACGGTACTTACTAACCCCAACAGACGTCTAAAGTGGAAGCGCACACACGCGAATCTTCACCGGTGTTCAGCTGAGTAAAACGCCTTCAGCATATTTGTTGTGGGCGATAGCGGCACGATAAACACCTTGAGCAATTGATTCAGTATTGTTAGAGACGTGAACAGTGTAGTCATGATTAGTGGATTAAGAACCAGGAAGATTCGTCACAACGTTATTATCTTGTATGCGTGTTTCGAAGAAGCGGCACAGATCGAAAGCAAGAGATTGAAGAATGAGAGTTAGCGCTACCTGTTTGCCAATCTGACCCTGAGTGCGGACGTTCAAGGAACCAATGTGAAATGAGGCTCTAGATTTGATGGACGAGCTACTTGTACCGATGGCAGCAGCTGCGAGGTCAGCGGCAGTCGTTTGCTCAATAGACGGGGAAGAAGAGAGCGGAGAGAAAAACAAAAAGAAAAAGAAGAGGGATTATTGTCGACCGAGTGGAAAAGGCAGATGATATTCTATGGCTGCCCGTTCCGAGAGCGGGGTTTTGTTTGAAGTGCTCTACCACTAGCCACTGACTCAAGTGTATGGTACACAAGGCAGTGGGGAGCAAGTCAAGCTCAGTAGTGTGATTAGATAGACCAGCTGGGATATGCTTGAGGTCTGTCACATACAGACTTTTCGACCGCAGTATGTTACATACCTGCGAATCCAGCCAGCCGCATATGGGAGTTAGTGGAATTGTAACGATCTGACCACTAGCTAACTGCATAGAGGCGGGCGGCAACAAAGAGTGAGCCCCAGGTGGGGTAATGATTGACCATGAATCAGAGCAAAGAAAGCCACAAGGAAGCTGTCTCGCTAATGCCGCCTTGTCTTTGCAAAGGAACCAGGTATTTGGCACGGTATGTTGTTGTAAGGCGTAGACGTCTTGACTCCCAATGTTTGCTCAGGGTAGTAAAGTTTTACGCTAGGTCTCCTTCTCTTACAACTGCTATTCTTCGTTCCGCAAATCACTGTGGTTGTACCACAGCGAAGCATCAGTTCAAATGGCTGACGTGTTGCTGTTCATGAGCACTGGACGGTGCCCTCCCATCGTCGGAGCAATGCGTGGTACCCGCGCTATACACCAATCAAGCTGTTAATTTATAACGCATAAACCTGTTGTTTGCAATGGCTAGGTTTTAAGGGAAGAAGAGCATCGGCCTCTCCCTAACATCCAAAGAGGATTGTGAGACTGACCTAATCTGACCCCTAATCATCCACCTGTCCGATACGAATGGTGCTGAAAACATAGAGAAAGTGTTACTCAGCATAACTCAATGGGTCGCGGAGGTGCGCAAACAATCACACCAGGTTAAAATCAATTCACGTAGCGTTATATATATACCATTTTCACTTTAAACTGGACATTTTTCAAACCAAACTGGACATTTTGCAAACCAAACTGGACATTTTGCAAACTAAACTGGACATTTTGCAAACCAAACTGGACATTTTGCAAACCACATTGGACATTTTGCAAACCAAAGTGGACATTTTGCAAACCAAACTGGACATTTTGCAAACCAAAGTGGACATTTTGCAAAACAAAGTGGACACGTTGCAATCTAAGTAGCAACTCGCCAATTTGTTGGTAAGAAACGAGCAGTAAGACTGCTGAATGATGTTCAGCATATACATTGTGATGACGTTAATACACCGGCATTTTGTAAGCAGCGGGCTACACTGTAAAACATTTGCTTGATCGTGAGCAGCGACCGAAGTTCTGAACTATGCTCCCCTCTCCCCATTGACATTCGCCTAGTTGGTGTGCAGTGCCCATACGCATCAACCTGTGTTGGTGTGTGACAATTGGAAAATCGGACGTCCGAATCGTAATTGTGTATCAATCATTTTGTGAGTGGATTGCGATGCGCAATCTCAATGTGCACCGTTATTCTCATTAGAGAGAACCTTGTCCGATTCGGTCAATGGGACCATGTCGGATGAAGCAGGTAGGCGGTATCCAAGCTTCGCCCGTCTCTCTATTAGCTTTCGCAACTGCCACGTTATTGCATCAGCGTAGGCTGTAATTACCCCCAGCAAATCCAGTCTAGATCTATAGCCTATTGTTGCAACATATCAACTACTGAGGAGTGGGCCGATTACACGATGTTCAGGCCACATTGTGGTCACGATAATGTAACCAAACTGCGTACGTAGCGTGTGATTGTGTAAGCCCTTCTCTTGACATGAGTGCCGTTCGCCTCGGTCAAAATCGGTGACCTATTTTCCCCTACACCCCCCCCCCCATAGGAATTCGTGTGTTTTGTCTGGGTGTGTGGACAGACCTATGCAGCGGTACCACAATTGGAGCCGAGCATACGATAATGGTTCCACTCAACCCAACATAGCTTTATTAGCTCCGTGCCGCACGAAACGACCAAAATGAGTGACGAACAACAGGAGAGCTGGTGTCCGACGCGACGAAGGGTTGTCCGGCTGTCGCTTTCGTCAGGTTCCTCATCGTATTGAGAACGCAGTTCATGCAGTCCTGCTGCGTTACCATCCCAGCGCTGTCCTGAATGACCGTGCTCAGCGTCTGCTCAGGTGTGGGGTTAATAAACAGGCGTCTCGCCGACGCTTTCACCTTTGAAAAGACGTGTTCTACCGGGTTTGGCATGTACGAGTAGGACGGCAAGAACTGCAGGTGATAAGACTAACCAAGAATCCTCCTTAGCTCATCAGGCATATGGATCCTGGCATTGTCCATGATCAGCCACGCGCCGTTAATCTCCACTATGCAGCTTATACGCGCCACCAGTTCCTCGACGAAAGCTGAGAACTACGCATCATTGCAGGTGCCATCGTTAATGATTTTGAATGGATGACGCCTTGGTTATTCATTGCAACAATCAGTGTTACTATGCGACCTCTGACTGTGGGCACACGACGTTCGCGCGCCTCCCTCTTCTTGAGCGAGCCTGAGTTTGCCTCAGATGAAGGTTGAAACCACTCCCATCTATGAAGATGCATTCCTTTTTGTTCGAAGGTGCATGTGCCGAGAACTCGAGAGCGTACGCCTGTCGGCCAGCGATTGTCGTGGCACCGTTGACTCGGTCGAGCTCGTAATGACACTTTTTGAGATTTATCTTTAGTCTTCTGAGGGCGTTGAAGACAGAGGATACTGATAGGTTTATCCCATTCTCTCTCAGGCGCATCTGCAGCTGCACCAACGTGTCCTCAGAGTGCCGTTCAACCGCTTTTCGACGCGCTGCAATACATTGGGAGTGAGCTTCTCCCTATTGTTTCCAGCGCAGGTGCGCTGTGTATTTGAGCCTTCTTGCTTGTA